TATAGGAGTCTAATGATTTTTTTTTATACAATTTGTTCGGATAGTTCACGTGCTCCTAATATCAGTAGTTTTTCGAATTTTATCTGGTGTATAGTAGGATGTTCATTCCGATTTTCGATTTCCATTCCGCTAATAACTTCCCGTTCTTCAACCAACAGTTTGAATTCACCAAGTCATTCAAAAATATGTTTTCTATTAATAATAAAAAATAAAAATAAATTTACATACTAATAATTGTCTTGCTATTATATTTGATTATTTTACATAGTGCTCGAATTGTCGAATTGGGGGGAGGTTCGCAGGGGGACAGAGCTCCTCTACTTTTTTTTTTTTTTTTGCGTTACCCAACTATATTTTTTTTACCAGAACGGAGGGACGCCACGTTCATCCTAATTGATGTCCAAAATAATTTTTATGTGAATTTCAATTTACGTCAATTGGAAAATAAATTTTATGATTTATAATATCAAAACTATTTTTATAATTAAAGATTATATGATGGTTATGATAAGGGACAACGTCGGTATTTCTGGAAAAAATATAAATAGTAATGTCTGTGAATTTGGTATATTATACTTTGTACGTTGTACGGTTTGTTATTAATATTGACGATCGACGATATCGTCATTTCGGAAAAAAATAAATGCCCTCACCACATCCTTAGACTAATTTTCTAAGGCCGTGGCCCGCACTAAAGAGTAAAAATAGATAAAAACAAAAACCAAATATATGATTATATCATTCGATTCATGAGACAGCCTGATCGCCTACAGTTACCTATGTTAATTATTATTTTATTTTTATTTTCTAATGTAACATATAGGATGTTTGGTATTGCTATCAAAATATATTATATTTGGAATTTAATTATTTGTTTAGCTGAAAAGTGGTATTCAAAATATATTTAAGGTTGGTGGAGGGGGGGAAGAGGGACGAAGCTCCCCACGGGTCTCAAATAATTGCGCACGTGGAACGCAGTTTTCAAATCGTTGGACTGAGCTCCTCTGCTTAATTTTTTCCAATTTGAGCACTGATTTTACATAGAAATATGAATGTAAAAAATACGTTAATGTTATTGGAAATAATTACTTTTAAGAAAAAATTTAATTTTTTGACAAATCAAACATAATGGCTTACCTTTGTTTTCGACGAAAAAGTATAAATCAGCCCAAGAATTATTAAAAAAAACGATGTTCATTACAAATTTTTCTTTTTTTAGTCTCCATAATGTTTGGATTTACTTGTAAAATGAAACTATTATAAACGCAGTCACACATACGAGCGTAATCACGGTGTTATACTAATTGCTACGAACGCAAAGTAACTATGCCCATAGATTAAATATATTAAATACATATGTATTAAATACATAGATTAAATATATTTAAAATTTTAATTTTTAAATATATATAAGTATATTTAATTTATCCTTTGATTGAGTAGTGCAGCCATCATTATTTTCAACTCCGATTAGATAATAATAACAATTTTATAGATTAAACTGACTATATAACTATATAGAATAAACATCAAATGTTAACGATTAGATTAGATTTTATTAATAAAGAAAAAAGAACTGAATAGTACTGAAAATTGTATGAAAAATTTTATTGAATATAAATAGAACAAAAAAATTAACCACTTTTGTGCGGACCATAAAAAATTGCTTCGAGGGCCACATGCGGCCCGCGGCCCGCGGGTTGCTGACCACTGTTCTAATAGCATGTGCTAGTTTCGTGGTCATAAAATCTTATTAAAAAATCATAGTTTCATTAATTTATACTTAGGATTTGATTGGTCCCATAGAATAGGACGCGCTTTGTATAAATTAATTAGCGTGATACACTGATCGTCAGATAAATCCATAATTTATAAATTAATATTTAACTACCCATCAATTAATTTACAAATAAATGTGACACTAAAAAACAGTTGATTATTAAACCCTCAAATGCAGGTGAACATAAGCGAATCTGTTGTGACGGTCCGAATGACGTTCACACTGAGCAAATGGTACAAATGGCCATTCGTTCGCGTTCGGCGTACTGTTTACACTTAATCGTTAGTGAGCCGAATTCGCGTTCGTCGGCGTTCACGGCCGACAGTTCAAGTTTTGATTCTTCAAGTGTAGGTACAGTCAGTATCTAGTAATAGTACTAATAGTGTTGAACAAAACAAAAACCTTATGTAAGGAGTGTTTTGGCCCTTACCGTTGCAGTGTTCAAAATAAATAAATAATAAATTCTGATAAACATGTACCTAATGTAAAGCGTAGACTAAATTGTTTTAATTATTATTATTATATTTCTATTTTATTCATAGTTATACAGTAAGGTTTTCTGATTTCTATTAATTTTGTTTTAATTTGTTACTTATTTTATTTTGAAGAATATTATTATTATATAAATATATTTATTCATTTTTATAAATTGTTACTTATTTACTAATTATTATTACAACAGGGTTTCTTTTTATAATTGTTAGCATTTTTAAAAAGTTTTCTAATTGTTTTTTTGTACATTGACTTGTTTTATTCAATTTTTACCTTGTAAAAATGATGATTTGTGTTTTGATATACAAAATTTTATTGTTTGAGTTATAATATAATGTTATTATTCATTTAAAATAATTGTTTTCATATTTTAAAAGAAGTGGTAAAATATTTTACCAGCGGTCACTAGGTGTTGAACTATGACCTAGATAATCATTGGTCGATTATTTTACCACCTTGTAAGTCAAAAACTTACAGGAAATTTTTTTTTTTTTTTTTTGTCAATATTGAATACAATTCCATCATATCAGAAACAACGTTTTGAAGTGATCGGACTAACAGCGCCTTCCGCCCTATAAAGGGTCAAGCGACGATTTTACTACTTTTCAGGAGAGCAAAAACAAAATTTTCATATTTTCTTAACTTTAACGTTGGCGCTTCGATAATTCTTTAAGCATTAGGAATAAGGTTATTATTTCCATTCTATTACATGTTATCTTGCTGGTCTGACGCTAATCACATTGAAATTTTTAGTACATTTTTTATCATAACGAATTTAACTAAACTTACCTTTTTTTGGCGCCTAGATCTATTTTAATTTTTTTTTTTTTTTGTAATAAATGGCGCTTATAAATTGTTCAGTAGACATGTAACGATTGTGAAACGTAAGTACGTATACCTAGGACGTATAAAGAACTTTACTCATATAATCACTTATTTAAATATAAAAAATGGTTTGATACTCATTAGTCATATTATTATGATTATTATGAAAGTTGATAAGCAACAATCGTAAGGGTTAAGCGCTATGAATTTGTCGTTTAGCCCATAAAATTTCCAACAATGTCGCTTGTCCCCTTTTTACCAGCCGATATTCCATCGTACCGGACGTACTTATTTAGGGCGTAGACTCTGCAACGGGAACGCGGTCCGTCAAAAAAGAAACGGTACCCTTCCAAAAACCGATAAATACCGCACGTTTAATTACGCGCGTTCGTCGTGTCGTAACGGCACGTGCCCCTGCGCACTAGTTTTTTGTATGCGCGCGCGGTACATTTCCGACGGACGGTAACTTACAGATCAAACGGTGCACGTCGTTCGCTTTCTACGTTTTCCAAGGCCGTATCTAAGGGGGGGGGGGGCAGACACTTCGATATTTTACAAATATTTAAAATAATTGTTTATTTTTAATACCGACGTAAATATTTTCAGTCAGAAATGATTTGAGCTCCAATTAATCGTTGACCGTTCTTAGTTTTATATGCGTGATATCATATGAAAATATGATATTGATTTTGATAGAAGAAGATCTATTAAAAATAATAGACAATTTATCTAATTAAATCTTTTTCCGTCTTATTTTCAAACAAATATCAAAAGTCAAAATCTAAATTTAATAAAATTACAACATACATGTTTTGGACCATTCCACCGGAAAAAATTTCTAGATACGACCTTGACCCTGTCTGATTTCAACTGACTCCTCGTCGCGCGAGACGACGAAAAGATTCCGAGTTGTGTCCTCGGCAAACACACGTACGGGTTGTATCGACGGTGATAAGTAGAGGTCGGATTTTTATGATTTTTTCATATTTGTTTCTAGTATATGCAGTTCAGCGGGAGTGAGATATATTTACGATCCTTGAAATACAGAAATTAACAGAAAACAATTTATTTTGCGTACAAAAGCATATTTCAGGTGTTAGGGAATGCTCTAACACGTTAGAGAATATTTGAGAAATAGTTTCGAAATATTTTTATTATTGCAATTATTTTTTTAGAAGAAAATAATTAATAATTATGTTAATCTGCATATCCCCATGTACGTGTTACGTAAATCGGCATTTTAATAATATCGATCAACAAATACAGAATTCATAATTTTAGTTGTTTTTATATCAGTCTATAAAAATGAATCACTAGATATTATGAATAATCCACGTACGGTTGAAATTGGCGTTAAAAGCGATTTGTTTTGTTCAAAAAATTTTATTGTAAAACAAATAAATAATAACATTTAATAAATGATCAACAATAATTAATTAACAATATTTGATGTTTTTGTATTGATAAGATGTCATTATAAATATTTTTACAAATTACCATTACCTATTATTTAGAACTCTTTAATAATCCTCCTCTATTTTTTTACATCAATTAATATGGAATAAAAATATTTATGTATTAAATATTTATATTTATATTTCACTTTATTTAATAAAGAATATTATCATTCAGTAGCGTACCTAACTAGGATTTTAAAATGGAGGGGGCCAAAACCAAAATACTAAAAGAACATAATCAACAATTAACAATAAGTTTGTTAATATATTAATTTTTATATTAAGTTTATCGTATTAAATATATTTTATTTCGTTATAATTACATTTCAATTTATTAGTTTAATTATTTTGACTAATCAAACAATAAAAGACGTTGATGAGATTTTGAGAAAAAAATGTTTTCATTATTTATTTCTACCAAAAATAAAAATAAAAATTGATTGTAGTTAACGCAAGCTTCTATTTTTTTTCATATTAGTTTTCTTTTGAATTGAGGGCCCCAAATCACGAGGGCCTCGGTGCGTCGCATCTACTGCACCACTGCTATGCCGCTGTGTAACACGATTATTGATTAATAATTTAACGATAAAACAATAAGTGTTGGTATACAACTTACTAAGTCAATAATAATATTATTGATTTCATTTTTAACTTTTTCAACATAATCCTTGTGGCCTTTAATCAAAACTTGACTTGAATTGGAATTAGCTTGTGGAAATTTAATAGTAACTCCATTATGTTTCCCAATTATGTGGTTTATTACTTCAGAGTGGTGGGCAACAAAATGGTCATGATATTTTGGAGGAACGTTCATAGTCACTTCAATTATGTTTTTCTATAACATTTTAATGTATTACGAGATTATAATTATTATTATTGTATTATGATTCTGGTATATCTATTATTTAAATAAATTAAAAGGTTAAAAAAAAAATGGTTAACTTATTTAGTTATGTTTAGGTACATCAATGATTATTTTAATTTTTTATCTTAAATTGTTTCATTTTATATGACTTATATATCAATAGTTCATTATTGTAAAGAAAACTATGAGCAATTATGTAAATATAATCTCAATACAATTTCAATAAAATATAGACAGGTTAGTTTAATACACGTGCATTTGTATTGAATTATACATACCAAAACTTTAGCATGGTCTGAAAGTCTTTGTTTAGAAAGAGCAACATCTGCTTTACTATCACTGATCACAATTCTATCTCCAGCACCAAGATTAGGAAATTCAATTTTAACATCGCCACATTCATTTTTCAATTTGTGTATACATTCTTTTTGTTTGACAACTAAAGTGCCATGATTCTTTTCATTGATTTCTACATGTTCTTCGATGACTTTACCAATATCGGTTATCATAACTTCAAATTTTGCTTTTGCTATATTAACATTCTCTTTTTTACCAACAATAGTTATATTTTCATTAGTGGAATCAGTTTCAGGCGGGAAAATTATTCTTGTATTCGTTAAATGTCTGATCTGGAATCCAAGTATTAAACCATAAATGAACACATTGTACCCACATATTAAATTATTTTAACAACATACCTCTTTAACATTGACTCCGTTTGTTCCAATTAAATATTTGTGAAATTTCGGATTTACTTTCATATCAAACACATATTTATGAACTTCATCAACCATCGTCTGAATTTGTGTAATAACATTTTTAACATCATCTTCAGGTCCTTTGATAACTATAGTCTATGAATAAAAGTTAAGCTTTAAAATAACGGTTTGTTAATTTTTTTAATAGATTTTAGCATTTGGGAAATTTTCTTGAAAATTTACTTATTGTATTAAGGGAGGAGAAGCAGTTTCATCTCTTGAGACAATCGTTTCATGCTCAAAGAGAGAAACTGGCAGAGGCCAGGTTCGAATCGATGTCTAAGCGTATATCACGCATATAATAACTTATAAAATTGGTTAAATTGTCATTTTAATTTATAAGTTTAATAAATAAGTATATTCTTACATTATCTCCTTTAACAGTTGGTAAATTCAATGTCACATTATCCCCACAATCTTCTTTTATAGATTGAATGAATTTATTCCCAAGATTTACAATGGCATTTCTAACTTTAACATTTCCCAACACCATTTCTTTTGTTATTATGTCTCCCTAAAAATACATGATTGATAAATTAAAAATCAAATTGAAAAATAAATAATCTTTATAAAAAACCAACAATTTCATTTTGTATTTCTTTAATCATATCATAAGCAATTAAAACTTTTCTTTTATTTCCCATGACTTTAATAACATCCTTATTGTCTCCTTCGCGTGGTAAAAAAATTCTCGTATCAGTCTCTTCTCTAATCTAGAATATTAAATTATGTAAATAACAATATTTCTAAAGGTCGAATCACAAAAGTTAATAAATAATAATTACCTTTTTAATAAATATTGCTCTCTTTCCAATACTAAGTTTGTGAAATTGTTTAAAAATAGGAATTTCCAACACATAGTTGATTTCATCCAATACTTCGGCCAATTCAGCTAATGATTTAAATGCTTTATTTACATCATCGTTCAAACCTTGTATTTTAACTAAATTATTTCTAGCCTCAACTAAAATATCGAACCAAATATTATTTATAAACTCTCAAAATACAAAAAATACAAACATATTAATACTATTAATACTATTAATTACCTGGACTGGGGAATATAATTTTAACATTAAATATTTTCTGAAGTTCTCGAACTTTTTCACCATTGAATCCAATTATCGCTCCGTGGTGACGTTGATCAATTTTTATTTCTTTTTCAGTTTTACTTTTCAACTTAATTATAATTTCCTCCAATTCCTAACAAAAATTTTAATCATTAAAAAATTACGAAAGAAACTATTTGATGGAAATTTATTAAAATACCCGATTTTGTTAATACATAATACTTGTACATTTTTTTCTAAAAAACAAACATATCAGAAACCTTTTAAAAACTTTTAAGCCTATAAGTAATATTAAAATTTAAAGTTCATTGTATTCGTATATTGTTATATCAAAATTCAATATTAAAATCCTCATTAATTTATTTTTACTATAAAAGTATAATAAAAATTATCAGCATTTTAATTTAGAAATTGTGAAATTTTTAAATATTTATTAAAAGATTTAATTTTATTAATAAAATAAATAAACTAGTACGGTCACAAATAACCACTTTAAAAATAGGCATTATCTATTTTGTCAATTTTTCTCCAAGCTATTCATTCTAGCATTTCTTTTTGAAAATTAATTTACTTTAATGTGTTAAACTTAAATTCCGATTCATTATAACATATTTTTGATACATACTTGAACTACTTTTTTCGTGGAATCTTTTGTTCCAGTTATATAAATTATGTCAGCCGAATTTTTCATACACGGTATTTGAAGACGTGCTCCTGTACGTTTTTCAATATTCTTAAGATTAAGTCCTTGTTTGCCCAATAACGTACTTCGATGTTCTTTTGGGAACGGTGTAGTAGTAGTTTTAATCTGAAATTTTAATGTTTTAGTTAAAATTGCTAAAAAAATATTTTTTTATTTATTTATCCGTAATAAAACTATAAAATAACAAATGATTCATTAAACATTTTAAATTATTATGCACATTTATATATTATAATATTAAAAAATAATAATAATAATAATAATAAATTATTCATAATTTATACACAACAATATAAATATATAATAAATATTATTTTTATCAGTTTATCTTATTAATTCCAACTCAATTAAAACTTATTTACTTGAGTTTGTTCGAATGTGATAATTTTTTGTTTTGCTCGTTCAACATTTACTCTATTGCCGCTGATTTGTAAAGTCAGATCCATGGTTTTTGAAACACAAATCTCTATTCCTACATTACACTCTTTCCCAATTTTCATATATGCTTTCTTACATTTTTCATGCTCTAATTGACTATTCCTGTCCCAATGTCTGTCTTGGGCAGGTATAGTAATTATCTACAAATTTTACAAAATAAAAACTAAGATATTTTTTTATTTATATTTTAGATATAAATCAACAAAAACTTTCTAAACTATTACTATTCATACTGAAAAATGTTATTTAAAATCATAATAATGATGTTCTTTAATATGTAAATTATCGTTCTATAATTTTTATGTTATTTTTTATTTTTTATTTAAATTTTAACACAAAGTTATTATAGCTCAACAATTAAATCATGTAAGATAACTAAGTATGCATTTTAACATTAATATACAATAATCATTATCATAAAATAATATTAGTAAAATATAATAATTTGAGATAATTATAAAATAAGAGTTAATTTTAATTGATCAATTAAAATTTAAAAGTAACGGATAACATATCAACTGGTTAAAGACGTGATCATTTAAATGAATAAAGTAGAAAAGAATTTGGGCTTAGGAGTAAGGTGATTGCGTAGAAGAGCTGTAATTATAAAAGAAGGGTAAATATTAGATTTATTAATGCCAGAAGGTCTGAGATAAATTGGAAAACGATATATCGTCTATATGGCTATTTGGTAATAGGATATTATTAGAACCAGTGATGGAGGCGCAAGAAGCTTTGGAAAAAAGTTTGATGAGGAGACGTGAGAACAATATTTTTATTTTGATGATTACAAGTAGGTTGTTTTGCGACGTTTAAAATGTAATTTATGTTTAGAACAACCTTTATAGTTGGAAGTATGATCACCCGTGCAAAAGCCGCACTTGGTTAAACTGCCTTTCTTTTTGATGTAACTGTTTCAGGAGTGATTTCCCCTGCGTTTAACACAGCGTGAAGGATGAAGGATCACCATCATTTCCGATATGGTGATGTTAATAGTTAGCATACAGTGACCGTAGCTATGTCAATTTAGACACTGAGGTGAATCACTATAAGTCTTATTGGGTAATTCAACTTAAATTTTAGTGTGCAACATTGATGATTCATTAAAATTGTATTTGGATTAATTGTAACAATGAACAGCGGAAGCGTATGGCCATTTTGAATAACATTCGTAATTCTTTTGCGGGAATCTAATTCCAATAGGGCATCTGATATATATAGTGACCTGATGTTTTTTTATTGATGGTAAACAATAGATTCTTTGGTTATATTATGAACGTCATAAGAGGTGTCGAGTTTGATTTCTTTGTCCACTTTGCTCGAAAAGACAGCGAAACGATTAGGTGAAACTAAGGGTTTAGTGTTTTTCCCCGTATGGATTGGAGAATTATGCTATGATAGCAGCGACCGTTTGGGTTTGGTAGTAAGCGGAGAGGGTATGTTGTCCATCTTGAAAATTAAGTCGCATAAATACGATATATAATACCGTGAATACTCGTATAATACCGTAAACTGAACTAACTAACTTAACTTAAATAAACTAATAAAGTAACTTAACTAAAATTGTGGTAACGGAACGGGCAAATTATAATCGCACTGACATGCGACCGTGTTACAAGTCAATATCAGACTGATCGATCTAATACTTATTAATTACTATTAAAATGGCATGAAAAATTACTTCGTTCACCGTTGAAGATTTAAAATTACTCCGGTTTTTAAATTGTGCAGTTCCAATTGTCTCCGAAGTCTTCAAAACTGGCAAAGCTGGAAATGAAAGGTTGTAGTTGTTGCCATTACTCATAGCATCTCCTGCACTCGGTTGGCCAGATACCATTGATAAATTATTCATCATTGTAATTGATGTTCTAGAGAGGTACTTTTCTGAAACAAAATCTGAAAACTAAAATCAGAATGCGAATGAATAAATAAATTTAATTCGTTCGAATTCGATATCGAAGTTCAACCAGTATAGTATTTCAGAAAGTGATGTGATACGTCGTATAAATCAACTAAATGTTCTACTATAACTATAAACAACTAACAAACTAAATTACCAATAGTTACAAATATGCAAAATATAATTTTATATCGATTAATAACGACTAATAATACAATTTTTTTAAGTCTGTATTATCAAACGATAATCGATCGAAAAAATAAAAATTTCATATAAAAATCAAAAATGTATTTAAATATTAAAAAATGCATTTTCGCATATAGACCTCTTAATACACGTGAATTCACGTTTCACGTGTCACGTGTAAAATTCAATATAAAAACGTAGGTATAACCTTAACTTAATACTGTACGTATAATATTTATTAAAACTTCAAGTGCATAAAATTACTAATTTTCATCATTATAAAAATGGATATATATATATATATATATATATATATATATATATATATATATATATTTGGATAAACACGTATTTCACGTGTACACGTGCTTTATGAGCTCTATTTACATATGTACTTGTATATTTTTAGTTATGTATGTATTTAAATATTGTTTAGTTTCAAAAGTGATCTGATGGCGAGTAGAAATGCTGTTTTTTTTAAATTTTTAACGGGACTGTTAAATGGATCGAACAAAATAGGAGTACTTATATTGTTTGCGATATGCTCTGTAAAAAAATCTTAAAAAAGAAGCAGGAGTCTTTTAAAAAAAAAGATTATGGATTCGACAATGGATTAGTAGAAAAAATAGTGTTGGCGCATCAGTTTGTTTTGAATTGAGAAATCACATTGATCACGTGGTTCACTATTCGTGTTCGGGAATAAACTGGCCTAAAATTACTTAATTTCATTCAACTTCTGTCCGACGTGTTGGACTGCTTGCAAGAGCTTGCAATACCTACTATAAACATTCACGTTTGTTCAATTTTGTTCTTGCACGAGTAAAAATAAGCATGCGAGAAAAAACATACAAGTGATTTCAATTGTGTGAATTCGGTAAAATGCTTTATTTTTAACTTTTAAAATTCACATACGTATTGTGTAAATAAAGCTAAAATACACTATCGGCGGACGGCGATTGTCGTATAGATAAGCAATAAATGTACTTTGACGTTTATTAAATATTTTACAACGAACAATTCTGTAAAATGTTTAAATTTTACCAAAATATGGTAGGTACACTAAAAATTTGTTTGAACTGGAACGATAAACGTTATTTTTTTTACGAATCGGAACACTGAAAAAAATTTTTCGTGAACCATTTTGAGCCCTGTTTGTTTCTGTAAAGACTATTTAGTTATTGTAATTATAAAAATGAAAACTAAAATTCGTTTATCGAAAAGAAAAAAACACAAAAGGTTTCATAAAGGGAATAAGAGACCACCATGAACCAAAATAATAGAAATAATAGTACAAAGTACTATTACAATTATTAAAAACTGTGATACTTAATAAAAATATATATTTTATTAATTTACCAATATTACGGAATGATGCACCCATCACAACTGTTTTATAGTTGAATTTTTTAAAATAATTGTATATCTTGGTTACTGATTGGACACCTGGATCATTTAAGGTTTCAAAACTTTTGTTATTTGTGTTTACTACATGCCTAAAAAAAAAAAAAAAAATACACATCTACCAAAATAAATAAGAAATCTTCTAATTTACCAATCGAAAATACGACCCACAAATGAAAATATTAATGTAACATCAGACTCAGCACAAGCAATGGCTTGATAAAGAGAGAATAATAAAGTTAATTTACAATGTATACCATGTTCTTGTTCCAAAACTCTGAAAGCAATTTGAAACAAATATTTATAAAAAGTAATTTATTTATCAATAATAATTAGTATCTAAAATACTATTTCTGCTATGCTTACTTAGCTGCTTGAATACCCTCCCAAGTAGAAGCTAACTTAATTAATATACGTTCTTTGGGAATTCCAGCTTTTTCGTACATTTTAATGTACTTGATAGCTTTAACAATACTTGCTTCTATGTTAAAAGATAATCTGAAATGTATAAAAATAATTAAAGCAATATCAATAATACATTTTATTCTAAAACATACCTAGCATCTATTTCTGTAGACACTCGTCCAGGAATCAAAGACAAAATTTCAATACCAAATAACACAACAAAATGATCCATTGTTTCCTCAATTTGTTCTTCTTTTTTAGTGTCTCTAATACAGGTCTTATTTTATGAAGTCGATCATTATTGGTGGAAAACGTATTGTCGTTAAAGTGAAGAATACTCCTTATTTTATCAAAATGATTTACTGACATAGTTTCTTGTATCAATTTATTTCCCATAATTTCACTCCAATAATTACGAACATTTGACAAATGATTTACCGACATTACAACACATATACCTATATATTTTTTAAGCTCAGGTATAGTCAAATTAAATGGTTTATTTGGATTCAGACTAATAGAATGTTTAGAACTTTCTAAGCAAATATGTTGTAACAAATCATTAGTAAAAAAATATTCAAAAACTTGTCGTGGTGTTTCTTAATCTAAAATATGTTGAGGTAATAACATGTCATCTTTAAATTCTACATCACTTTTGTCAATTTTAAATCCTCGTTTTTTCCAATTCACATTACTCATTATGTTTGTTACTGTAATCATTTTGCGTGTTTTGGTAGTTATAGTAGGGCTAGTGCCTTCAAGAGATAAACTATTTCCCATGGTACTGAGCGACACATCATTTTTCGATCTAGTAACAGGGGAACTACTTTCGACCAGTTCTAAATCAAGGGCTTGTACTCGGACAGTTAATTCTACAGAGCTCACATTCTGAGCATCAGATAATTTATAATCAAATACTGATGAATTACTTACATTTATATTTATGTCGAGGGGAACGTCTAATAAATCAAAATTAATACTATCCAAATTCTGACCTATATCAATTTCCTCTAAAAATTGTTCAGCAAAGTCTTCAATATCATCATCTGAAGACTCGTCATCTTCCGATTCTAACGGTATTTCAAAGTTCATAAGCTGTATAAGCTCTTTCTCTGTTAATTTTGAGTTCATAGCTATCTTTTTGGCACTCAAAAGTCACAATAAAACGTACTTTACTTACATATATAATTGAAATTGAATTGATAAAAATCATATTATAATTAATAATCATTATCAATTGGCGGTAAAATGGAACTTGTGTAAATAACAAAAATATCAAATATTGTCTACAATGCATGGTGTAGCATATATGATACGTACCAATATTTCACAACCAAAACTAAAATATATGATATTCGACTATTATAAGTATTTTATAATGTAAATAACATATCTATAAATCCTAAAATAATTTTTTTTATGTTTAAAAACTTTATCATTTGTTCAATAAATACATCTTAAGTGTTGCATATCGAAGGATATAATTTTTTTTTCTTTACTGTCATAACGCATAATATTAATGGAAATTAGCGCCATCTACTGATAAATTAATGAACTATTATTTTTATATAAATACATATGATATTAGATATAAAATAATTAAATTAAAGTAAACAATCATAGAGAAAACGTTGTTTTAACAGTATGTAACAAATATGCTACATTATGCATTCAAGGGTTAAAATAATATTACTTTTTGTTGACATCCGTGTTGAATACTGATACTGATCGCCGACAACCGCAAATTGAAAACGAAAGGAGGTATGACGTGTACTGTGTGTTATAAACATTTCATTATAGTTTATCGATTCTGCAGTTGACAGTAATCGTATTTCGTTATCTAATCTATCTTATCGTCCAGATGTATAATGTGCAATACAAAATAATGATGCGTGGTTCGTGTAATAATATAAATGTTGTTCGTTGTTCGTTCTCGTAACTACGAAAAATGATAATAATAATAATACAAAAACGATTGCACGTAATAATTTTGTAATTTAATTTTTGACAATGACCGGGCGTCGGGAAGTATGCGACCTTGATCGAAATCGTCGTATGGTATACGCCGTTTACCCTCCTGCTACAGCCCTGCCTGTAACACTTCCCTGCGGACCGTATCGCAGTGACTGCCGAATACAAGTGTATGATTAAAACGATTTGTACCCGGCGAAACATATGTACATATGAAAAACAATTTTTAATCCGAATAACGTACAGTAGGTAATATGTGTAGAGATCACCTCAAATAATTATTGCAGTTTTGTTTTTATTTTCCGATGGGCTACCGTTTAAAGCAATACATTTTCAATAGCCCCGCTACGGAACGCGTGTATAAGGCGCTCTTCAATTGTATAAACACCTTTAAGACGTATATTAATTCAGACCGTTGAACATTTATAAAAATCACTGTAATTACGTATACGTTCATAGACGTTCTATTCGTTACAATAAATACTATTACAACTCATTTAGTTAATCATTTATCCAGTTTCACGTATGCAGTTATTTTTACATACGTAAAACAATACCATTTCAGCCGATATTTTAAAATATTAGAAGACTAGTCGACTAATTAGAAAGAAAATAAATACTTTCACATATTCTTACGACGCGTATATTGATGAAAAAAACTAATTAAACTGCACAGTTTCCCGATTTTAAGGTTTTATTCGTTTATTGTTTTACATTTTTGTTTATTTTTTTGTTTTTCGAATAGTATTATGTTCACGGCGGGAGTTATTGGTAAAGTATAAATTTAAAAAGTAGAACTTTATGGTCGTATGTATGTACAAATGAGTACGAAAGATAAGTCAGCGACTCGTGTAACCACTAACCGCACTATACTCGGAACCATCATCCCAAATTAATGTAGAGGATAAAATAAAGTCGACAATGTTTTTTTTTTTTTTTTTGCAATATAAATATTACAAACCTTCTAATGTTTACAGTTGCGAAATAGTACGGTTGAAGTCTGCGATGAAAACATTAATATTACTAATTAACTTGGAGTTATAAAATAAAACGAAGTAGTGCATTAGTTAAGTAAGCTTCCCGATTGGGGTATTATTTACCGTTATTATTGACAGTAAAAAAATAAAGTTGTGTATGTGTAAACTACGGAGAAACTAAAAACTTTTCTTATAACTAAAGAAATGTAATGGTTTTTTTGTTTTAATGAATACGATATAATTTACGAACAAATAAGTAATCAAGTTTATTCGTAATGAATTATGTATGTTATGTTAATAAAAGTAATGGGTGTAATTGATATAATTTCGATCACGTATGATTTGCACGTGTATTCGGTTTTGGACTAAATTCAACAACATAAATCCGGGCGAATTGGGATTATTCACGATAATATATTTTATCATCGACGTAACGTATACGTATTTTTCAGTTAACATCCGAAATCCAACTAGTACATTACACAAATGTATAACAGTTTAATGTATATTTTTTTTTAACATTAACATGTGATTATACAGCTATATATGTATACAGTATTCATGTATAAAATTATACGCGCACACATACAATCTAGATATGCATTTATATATATATATATATTAACATAATACATATAAAAACAACAAATATGTTATAGAATCTGTATGCGTGCGTGCGTGTGTGTGTGTGTGGAGGGGTAGTAATGTAAAACAATATTATGACGATTGTGCGTTCAGAACGAGGGTGAAAATTTACAATAGAAAACAAAAAAATACTTTTCAACAAATAGAGATCGAATCGACTAAAACTATATAACAATATCACGTCGCTAATATACGCTAATAGCATGACGGTTATAATGGAAATATTTAATATTTTCAACTGTTACACAGAAATATTACACCAATCAATCGATCATCAACGTTTGAATCCCGTTCGAACGATTAACGTATTAATTCCACCAATAAATTACATGTACTTCGTGTAGTTGCCAAAGGAAATTCGTAATCGTACTACTCGTATCGATGAAAAATAATAATGTTGAAGCGAATAACTATAACCGATGTCTATTAGGACTAAACGATTATCGCCGAGATTGGTTAACACAACAGTACCTCTACCCATTAAAAACTTGTGGACGAGTTTCTTCTTCTTCCCGCGGAGATCAATGGTGAGTCAAGGTGGTGATCGGTCCTCAGGAATCGTCACAGGGCACAGCAATATGACTATAACAACTCAGCTTAGTCGATCCCTACACACACACACACATACGCATGTGTCGAAAACTAATTTACACGTACATACCCACCCCGTTTACTGGCCCTGTGGAGTGTCTAGTCGGGGTATCGACGTACTTGGAGTACGTATTTTATACGTGAGACGTTGCAGCCGATATTTTCTGTACATCTACACGTGGTAACTATCGACGACGTCGCCGAGTGCCAAACATTCGAATAATCGGCCGCGCGTTCGACACGCAACACACGTATACGAGTACATAATACGCACTCGCACGCGCACGTGCACACGTCGGCGTAGGAATTTACATAATATATGTCAATTTTGGTCTAATAACGGAGCTTATACGTCTCGTTTCTGTACAAGTATACGTGTCGTACACGAACATCCGTGTCGGAATTTGCACGTCCATTTTTTTTTTTTTACAACCTGCGACGTATCTATGCGCGCGCGTGCATTGTACACCAACTGCAACCAGAACGACCGAACCCCGGTGTACGGCTACGGCTAGGGCTGTGGATTTGTAGAAAAGTAGCTTTGTATGTACACAATTTGAATTATGTAACAACGAATCCATTTTTGAAACTTTTACTTTCGATTTTTTTTTTTTTTTGCATTTTTAGGTTATGTTTTTCTTTTTTAGTTGATTTCCGGTACACACAGGCTGCATATACGTCAGTTTTACATTTTATAAAATAATATTTTACACAAGCCGTATACGGGTTGGGTAAAGATAACGATTCGATAAAATAACGTTATTCCTAGATAACTTGAATTTTAAAAAATCTTCCAGGTGAATAGCGTTATATAAAATTCAAATTCAATCAACATTTTTATTATTAAAAAACACATTTTTATGCGTGTAAAATGTCAAGTACTAATGTATAATACCTTATAGCATCAACATTAATATTAAAATTAAATTAAAAACTATTTTAAATACATTTTATACTATAATTTTTGGCATTTTATATTGCATTTTATATGGATATTTCATTGCATTTTTTTAAGAATTTTTTTTTGCATTAAATTCACAGCCCTAGCTGTGACGAACTGAGTGCGTGCCCATAGCGGTTCAAGTACGTACATTCGCAGTCGAGCGCACCGGGTAAATTTATTTATTCGTATTGCTTGACAGCAAATTAGATAAGATAAAATCATGAAGATGTATAACACGAATTGATTTAAAAATAATAATGATCATGATAATAAGAAAAATATCGCGTGAGATTTGTAGTATAACTAAAATTACTAGT